TCCGCTGCTTCTGGGGCTGCTGGGAGAGATCCCCCTTTCTCTTCTTTGTTCGCACAGCTCCCGGGGTTCTGCTTTGGATCTGGCCCCGCCTCTGCATGTAGGTCGCCTGAGGGCGTCTGTTCTTCACTCAGACAGGACGGGGTTAAAGGAGCCGCTGACTCTGGGGCTCTGGCTCACTCAGGCCGGGAGGAGGGAGGGGTACGGAGTGCGGGTCGGGCCTGCGGCGGCAGAGGCCGGCGGGACGTTGCACCAGCCTGAGGCGCTGTTTTCTCCCGGGAAAGCTGTCTCTGGATCCCGGGACCCTGGCAGTGGCAGGCTGCACAGGCTCCCGGGAGGGGAGGTGTGGACAGTGACCTGTGCTCGCACACAGGCTTCTTGATGGCGGCAGCAGCGGCCTTAGCGTCTCATGCCCGTCTCTGGGGTCCGCGCTGATAGCCGTGGCTCGCGCCCGTCTCTGGAGCTCCTTTAAGCAGCGTTCTTAATCGCCTCTCCTCGCGCACCAAGAAACAAAGAGGGAAGAAAAAGTCCCTTTCCTCTTCGGCAGCTCCAGACTTTTCCCGAACTCCCTCCCGGCTAGCCGTGGTGCACTAACCCCTTCAGGCTGTGTTCACGCCGCGATTCTGGATCAGACCGAAGCCCGAGCCTCAGCTCCCAGCCCCGCCCGGCCCGGCGGGTGAACAGACAAGCCCCTCGGCCTGGTGAGTGCTGGTCGGCACCGATCCTCTGTGCGGGAATCTCTCCGCTTTGCCCTCCGCACCCCTGTTGCTGTGCTCTCCTCCGCGGCTTCGAAGCTTTCCCCCTCCGCCACCTGCAGTCTCCGCCCGCGAAGGGGCTTCCTAGTGTGTGGAGACCTTTCCTCCTTCACAGCTCCCTCCCACTGGTGCAGGTCCCGTCCCTATTCTTTTGTCTCTGTTTTTCCTGTGCCCTACCCAGGTACTGGGGAGTTTCTTACCTTTTGGGAGGTCTGAAGTCTTCTGCCAGCGTTCAGTAGGTGTTCTGTAGGAGTTGTTCCACATGTAGATGTACTTCTGATGTATCTGTGGGGAGGAAGGTGATCTCCGCGTCTTACTATTCCGCCATCTTGAAGCTCCTCTTCCTCACTTTTACCTCTCCCGTTGCGGAGCACAGGCTCCGGATGCGCAGGCTCAGTGGCCATGGCTCACGGGCCCACCCGCTCCGCGGCACGAACCCGCGTCCCCTGAATCGGCAGGCGGACTCTCAACCACTGCGCCACCAGGGAAGCCCATTTCCATACTTTTTGGCATTTTTGACAACTTCCGCAAATTAAATTCCAAATGAAGTCTTTCTGACCGCGCCTGACTTTGAGATTTCCCAGAGGGCCCCTGGAAAATCTCAAAGAATTTGTCTCTTACCTTGTGAAAAAGAGTTGTAAAACTAATTAGGTTTGGAGGCTTCCCTGGTGGTGCAGTGGTTGAGAGTCCGCCTGCCTTTGCAGGGGACACGGGTTCATGCCCCGGTGCGGGAAGATCCCACATACCGCGGAGCGGCTGGGCCCGTGAGCCACGGCCGCTGAGCCTGCGCGTCCGGAGCCTGTGCTCCGCAACGGGAGAGGCCACAGCTGGGAGAGGCCCGCATACCGAAAAAAAAAAAAAGCTAATTAGGTTTATTGGGGATGTTAAATTACATGGGAAGCATTGTCAAATAAGAAGTGATGGTAAACTTTCTTAGGTCATATGTGTATGACTATTCTGGAAATTGTATAAAGTTCGTAGAAATTTGTCAATACCCTCATCATCTGGTTACCATGTTAGAATGTTGTAGTCACAGAAACACCTGAATTTCCTTATCAGATGAACTTTCAACAGATCTTTAACCATGGCCATCTTTAACCATTCACAGACAGTTACTAGTTTACTCTGATTCTTCCTGGAAAGCATTTACAATCAGCTACAGGTGAGAATGCTCCATGATGGCGTCACCTGAATAACATTGAGACCCTTCCACTGGACTGAGCAAGAGATTCCAGAATTAATGAAAAAACGGATGGATTCATAAAACTGCTAATTCAAGATCAAGCAGAATAAGGATTAATTACATGGAACTGAATGAATTAATGAAGATGACTATAATTTTTAAATGACTTTGTGTGAAACATGACTGGTTCTTTAATGGACTGTTTTCCACATCTAAGGAAACCTTTTTTCTCTTAAGCTACGTGCAACTTACAGCAATTTGATAAAGTATGCCTTTGTGAACAAAAATGAAACAATTGCTTTTTCTCCCTATCTGATTCCTCCAGAATTCAAAAACTCTTACCATATATTCTTATTTTTATGGCAGTATAGTTATTTGCATACGCTTAATAAGAATCTATTGTCCTGGTAACAGAATACAAAGGAAACATTGGTTATTTTACCAAGGCTTTGACTGGAATGTCATATTTGGGAATTTGGATATTTAGGAACTCGGGTTGACTTTTTTGAGCCAATAAAGCCCCTTGAAGAAATTTCTCATACTTTTCCAGGTACCAATCCCTGGTAAGGGATTCCAGCCTTACCAGGTAAGTAAGGAAGGTCACTTCCTGGTAGGGCTCACAATGTAAGGATATTTTGGGGACCTTGAGAAGAGAGGAATTTACCCAAATCCATAGGTAATACAGGCAAAGTCTGATGGTGAGTTCTTAGCTTAGCTTCCCAGTCTCTAGAGGCTTTCAAAAGTCCAAACTGAGACTCTTTATGAAAAGTTCCAGCAAAGCAGATTTCACTATTCTTGCTGCACTTATGTAAATAATCGGGCCAAGTTTCATAACGCTTGGCTTATACTGCAAAGAAATTAGTGTTACTTCAATTATCTTTGATAGAAATGGAGGTGACTAGACAAAAAAAATTATATTTTGATGGAAAACTATAGCACACTCTTGTGGGTATTAAATTCTAGTCCTATTCATGGTCTTTCAGGTCTTGTTACCTACTTGTACACTAGCATGGATCCTGAATTCTAGTTTCCTCCAATATCTAGCTACCTCTCTCCAAAACTATTATTTCCAATTTTTCTCTCACCCTTCTGAGTTGAAATCACTAAAAATTAAAACTGCCCTTTTTCCTGCAGCCCTACAAGCTGAAGTTGGACAACTTGATATAAACTTCAGAGAAATCACCACAACAGCTCATGTTTGGACAATTTTTACAGCTGTTGTTGTGTGGGCCACTCAGAAAGTTTACCGGAATAATCAACAACATTCCCAGAGACATTCAAACTCCAAACCAGGAAAATCTGTAAGATTTGCCACTGCTTGCCCTCACTCCTGAAGACATACATTCCCAGAGACATTCAACAGAGACATTCAAACTCCAAACCAGGAAAATCTGTAAGATTCCTGCTTGCCCTCACTCCTGAAGACATACTTTGAGCCTAACATCTAGAAATGCCCTCAGGACTCAAAAGCTGAATTTATAGTAGTTTGTTCTAGCCATTAACCTTTGTTTTTCTTTTGTTTCCATGGAAATGCCCAGCCCTAAGAGATTAGTTCAACTGATTATGAGACAATTTACTAACTCAGTTTCTGGACTGTGAAACTTCTTAGGGAAGTTTCAGATGGAGGAATGATCGTGCTCAGGACACACTACCCCGAAACATGGAACCTTGGCATATTGAATATTTTAAGCTAAAGGACTTCTGAGAAAATGGCAGAAGCAGGAAGGTCACTCTGCCCTTCTCCTCTGAAACAGATCATAAAACCCTCATGTGAGAGGTGCCTTCTCTATACCTGGAGGAAAGAAAGATCCTTATCTCTGAAGTCAAAGGGACACCAAGTAGAAGCCAAACAAAAAAATCTTGCTAAGTTTCCCCCAGTTTACTGCACTTATACCCTTGTCCTATCATATTCCTCATGAATGTCCACTCTTCATCAAACCTAGCATAAAATATAAGGTCTGTTTTTTCAGGTCTTAATTTCCTTATGAAGACTCCCATGTCACATAAAACACATAAAAAGAGAGAGAATCATACACACACAGAGAGAGAGAAAATGCAGTACTCAACATGAGTTGACTGGGTCAGCAGATTCCTTGGTTTGGAGAATATGCTCCCACTGAATATATATCAGCATATATTACTAAAGCACCTCCCTGCTTTGTAATCATCGAGAAGAGACTGAACAAAATTTGGAGCAAGATCTTGTCAAACCCTCACTTAACATTTTGATTTCATGACTACAGCTCTCATTGTTGCCAGTTCAGAAAGCTTTCCTTTCGTCTTGTACTCAATGTGACTTTTAAATAATTTTAGCTATGTTCAGCATCACAGAAGCTGGTTTTATGGAATCACAAAATTGCAGAATACAAAGGGGCCCTAGAGAATATGGTTTAAATTTATTATGTTGCTTTATTGGGTCAATTCTCATAGTTTTGCTGTAATCCTCAGGTCCCTTGAGATTCAATGCAGTTTTTAAGAGTGGTGATTATTTCATTTCTTATACTTGGAACTGGATTCTTTGAAATTAATTATGCAAAAAAAAATAAGGAAAATTTATAGAAGTAAAGCATCTTGGTACTGTATGAAAACTTAAAGATCTTCTAGTCAAATGCTAACCACCCACCTGCAAAAAAAGAGGCACCAACCTCTTATTATTAGGGCTTCCCTGGTGGTGCAGTGGTTGAGAGTCTGCCTGCCGATGCAGGGGACGCGGGTTCGTGCCCCGGTCCGGGAAGATCCCGCATGCCGTGGAGGGGCTGGACCCATGAGCCATGGCCGCTGAGCCTGCGCGTCCGGAGCCTGTGCTCCGCAAATGGAGAGGCCACAACAGTGAGGCCCGCGTACCGCAAAAAAAAAAAAAAAAAATTCTAAACCCAACACGTGAACGCTTTTGACACAACGTGTCACCCACCTGCTAATTAAACATTTCCAATGATCAGAAAGTCACTTTCCGGAGGCTGCCCCTATCATCAAACTGAGCTGGAGTTGGTCTCCTTGTGCCTTTCACTGGCTGATAGAAGTTTACAGCAGTTGTTATTTTAATCTGACCTGAATCCCCCCTCCCACACACACACCCCGCCGCACCTCACCCCTCACCTTGTCCATGACCCAAGCACACTGAGGTAGAGTCTTTTCCAAGTATTTTTCTGGTTGAGTTGACAGTGAAGAAGCTCCTTTTCTCTCTGGTTTTCTAAGCTTGATGGATGAGAGTTCAGATCACCCGGCAGCAGTAGGAGAATATGAAGTCTGTTCCAAAAGCAGGGATCAGAGTAAGAGCGGCGAGAAGGAGAGACAGAGAAAGAGAACACCTTGGTTCCAGTGCCCTCTCTGGCTAGCCCTGCTTCTGCCTTTCCCACAATTCAGTTACGTGAGCCCTTAAACCCTCCTGTTTGCTTAACATACTGATATTTCAAGTTACCTTGCTGTCACACACAAACGTGAGACTTGGTTGAGTAACAAGTCTAATTCATCCTCTTTCAGATAGCTCTTAAAAGCCATCATTAGAGAGATCATATTTTAATTGTCCAAACTGGGGCAATTTTGAGAGTGAAATACAACACAACTTGCGATTATGCGGGAACGACAGCCATAAACTTGGACCGTTCCAGTGAACTTATCGTTAGCCATCCTACCCCTATTCTTTCCAGTCCACGCATCCCTGATTCCTTCACGCTTTGTTACAAATCCCCTTGCCACCCTGATAGGTATTCTGTGAATATCTGGCAATTTGTCAGTGTCTCTCTTAGAACGTGGAAGCCAGAATTGAATCCAGTGCTCAAGCTGTGGTTGACAAGGGCACCACATTACTTGGTTTGGAGAATACACTCCCATTGATCGCACTGATGCAAACTCAAATTGAATCTCGCTCTAGCTCTGGGTCTCTCTCTTGAGTAGCACTTTACATTGTGCCTGGCAGGTGGTTGGTGCTTAAGGACCAATGAATACATGGCTCATTTTGAGCTGGAAGTCAGCTATAATCCATTTTGCTTTTGAGGATTCAAATATGGGACCTCTTGTTTCTCTGTGTTAAAGTTCATCTTGTTACTTTCAATCTACTATATTAGTTTATATCTCACAGTATCATCATTTCTCCCAACTTCTGTTCTTCTATGAATTTAATAAGCATATCTATGTATCATTATTATTGATGTTGATATTAGCTAACAGTGCTTCTTTTATGCCAGTCATTGTTTTAAGCATTTTAAACTCAATATTCACAATAAAATTATGAAATGGATATTATGATTATTCTCATTTTACAGATGAAGAAATTGAGGTACAAAAAGATTAAGTAAACTCCTAAGGTCGCAGAGCTAGTAAGTGACAGAGACAGTATTCAAAACTAGACATCTGGCTCCAGAATCTGTGCTCTCCCACGCCTTTCTATTCTCATCAAATTCATTGATTGCTAAGACATGGAACAGAACAGGGCCAAGGAGAGAGACCATGGGTCTCTCTCTCTCATCCCACAAGAGCCTGGGTACACAGCAAGCACTCATTGTGTATTTCTTGTTCCATCAATTACTACTCTACCTAACTATATGATGATAAACATATAAAAAGAAAACGTCATACGTTTTGCTGAAGCCCAGATACACTCTTCTAGCTTAAGTGTTTTAAGTACTTGCAAAGCATCACTTTATTAATCCAATCTAGAATTCTTTCTTGGACCAATGTCAAACTCATAGTTTTTGTCCTGTATAATCAACCTCCCTTCCTTCCTTCCTCCTTCCCTCTCTCCCTCCCTCCCCTCTTCTTTCCTCCTTCCCACCCTACCTTCCTTCCTTCCCTACTACATCCCTCCTTCCCTTCCTCCCCTCTTTCCTTTTTTTCTACTCTCTCTCTTTTTCTCTCATCCTCTTTCTTTTTCTCTCCCTCCTTTCTCTTCCTTACTTTCTCTCTTAAAGAGAATTGTATTTGCCTGACTCTAGTCTACTCTCCCCTGCTCCATGATTTCTTAAAGATCATAACATTTCCCTAGAAGTTCTCTCCTAGCCCGACTCTAATTTCCTTGGACAGAAATTTGAATTTATTTACAGATGCTAGATAATCTATAGCTTCCTCACCTGAAAAATTACAGTGCCCATCAAAAACTGCAAACCAACCAATGACCTGGACTAATTTAAAAGTCCTTCTTCTTTTGGTGAACATAATTTCACTTTGACAAATTTGTATCTCAACCTGGCCATTGTAAGAACAAGTCAAAACACAACGCAATGATACTGACCAATATGACGGGCACACAGAAAATGTACAGTGGTTACAAGGTTAATGGTTTCAAAGATAACAAGACAATTATTTGAATAACTCCAAATTTAAATATAAAAAGTGAGAAATAAGTGTAAAACACTCTGAGAAATACCTGATGCTATGGTCATCCTAGATCCAAGTCCTTTTGGAGGAAGAGTATAGCAAAGTCATTTATGGAGGAGTAGCCATGGAAATTAGTTTACACAGACACAGAGCCTCAAATTGATTTGGACAATCCTGAAAGAGTTAAAAAGAACCAATATATAAATAAAAATGAAAAACATCACTCTTGACCAGCCTGTCTATTGGATGCCCAACACCCTGCCATGGGGAAGGACAGAGCAAAGTGACAAATATCGCCAGCTTGGAGAGGAGTCTTTTCACCTCTCCTCAAGGCTGAATAGAAGGAATTTAATTTGCCTGCTTGGCTCTTATGCAATGCCAGGTAACCGTAGAATAAAGAGGGCTTTGAGGGAGAAAGCCAGACTTCCCAAACACACTGCTGCAATCATATCCTCCTCTTGTCAGATGCCTGCAGACACAGCGACCAACGTGTCCAAGACTGCTTACTGCTATCACTCAGATGCATAAGGCTCTGTCTCCCATAGAGAAGGATGGGAGATATAAAGGCTCCAACCTCTCTCCTTGTGAAAACTCCACAGTGAAATTCCATCAGACAGAAGCCAGTTCTCTGCTGAGTGAATTGAGCCTTTTATCAGTCAGATTTGTATACATTATAGAAAGAGCCAAAGAAGGGAGTCACTGTACACCTCGAATATTTTTAGTTCCCCAGGATTAGTTGCTATTGGACTTAATGTGAGGGGAAGAAAAGAAAAAAACAACTTCAGTCTTCTGTGTATATTGGTGGCTTTTTGAGGTCTCTAAGTTTGGCTGGGCTTGCCTGCTTCCTTTTCAGATATACTCTGGTAGCACAAAGAGCATGCTATCTGTTTCATGTTCCAAATTTGACCCCGATTTCATTTTCATTTATTTTTCAAATAATTTACTGATGAGAGCGTGTGAGTGTGTGTGTGTGTGTGTGTGTGTGTGTGAATACATGCATGTGCACAAACTTACATTGACCTGATTTCAGTGTTGAGACTCATTCTGTTTACCAAAACAGCACAATAAAGGCATTTCAGTTGGCAGAATCAGCTGGGAAACTTTTGCAAGTCCCTCACTTTCTTCATTGACTTTAGTTATTGCTGAAGCAATTCCCTTGGGAAAAGAAACATGAAAACAAGCCAATCCATAAAATATGTGGATGCAGAGATAGAGCTAGTATTGATGTCACTAGATTTATAATAATAATTTTTAAAAAATGACTTTTTAAACTTGGTCTCTTGCAGAGTTTGGGGAATAGGAATAATCCTTCTACCATGGTATTCACTCCTATAATTATTTTAAATGTCAGTCTTACTACTTCCCCTACAACCTCCTTTCAATCATTCAACAAGTATTTATTGAGCACCTATTATGTGGCAGGCATGTACTGGGTGCTGAGGATATGACAGTGAATAAGACAGGCACGGTTCCCACCCTCCTAGCCTAGAGGATTTTCAATTAAAGAGATGATACAAGAGTCGTTACCATAAAATCCCTCAATCTAAGTTGTAGACACTAAAACTAGGGCACAATGCCATGTCTCTGGGGAAAGGAGAGGTGGTAAGGGGATAAATATCCTCCAAATAGAGTAATCTGTTCAGGAAGACATTTCTAGAAGCACTGTCTATATTGCTCTCAGAGCCTGTGTGTAGAAGAGGAAGTCTTTCTTCCACCCTCCTTTCGTTCTTCCCTAAGAGGAGGTGATATTAACAGATGAATCTGATTCCAAAATTGAGGTTGGTTTACATGTACTCCTAATCCACTTTGTATACTCTCTTCCAGTTTTTATTTTGATGCTGCTGTACCAATAAACTTCATCACAGTCTACTTCTTTGAGGTACATTTTCAGGGTACTAAAGTGAACATCCAATCTCTTTAGACCTAAATGGCTTTATGGGCATACAATCTGTTCACTCACACAGGGCCCCAAGCTCAAAAAGGTCCTGGGCTTTGTTTAACTTTCTACTGTTGCTGTCTTGAAATTCTTGATACTTTTTGGACAAGGGATCCTACGTTGTCATTTTGCACTGACCTTGCAAATTATGTAGCCAGTTCTGTTTTTAGAATTAGTAGGCAACTGGTGGAAAGATTTGGACATGGTGTGGGTGGGTGGGTGGGTGGAGAGACTGCTGGGGTGCTAATTCTAAGCTCTTACCCCCCCCCCACCACTTAAGTTTACTAGAGACCCAAATTTTGGAGATGATGGCACTGGATAGTCAGTCATAGATGCTCAAGAAATAATTCATTAAGCAATTACTTTTCTAGTATTTATTTATTCAACAAAAATTTACTGAGCAAAAGTCTTGAAGATGGACCAAATAAAGCTTAAAGGTTTACCTCATTAATTGCATTTGAGCTCTTTGGCAGTATTACTCTAAAGGAGAGCAATGGAGAATACCTTACACATGATTATTAAATTATGTCTAACAATTTTATGTAGAAGGCAATGTATTAAATATTAAGCTTGGAATCAGAAAACCTGGTTTCCTATGCAGGATTTTTGTCTTATATGATCTTGTCTGGCTACTTAAGCATTTGGGGTCTCTTTTATTTTTTCTATTAAAAAAAGATAATAATACTACACTGCTGCTTGTTGAAAGGATTAAACAATATAGGTTAAAGTGCCTCTCAGAGTCTGTCTCTCAGAGTCTCTGTCTCTCAGACAGTCTCTGTCTCTCAGAGTCTCTCAGAGCCATATAGTAGGCACTCAATAAGTCATTGTGTTGGTTTGATGTACTTATAGGCCTTTCCTTAGAGATAGAAATAGAATTGCACTGTCTGAATCCACTGAGGAAAAAAGTGAGGTATTATTAACATATTAGAGGTTAAAAGATTATAATTTCTTGAATAAAAAGATTATAATTGTACTTAAAATATTTTATCTCTCCTTTATTCTTCTTCTCAACACTAACCAACATTACTACCATTGGATTCTTCTCTTTATTACTACAACAGGATTCTTTCATTTAAATAGCACTTAAATTCTCTATACATCCAAAGATAGAAATTCTGACACAAATTTCACTCACATTCCAGGAATTTTGTTTCTGTGGTGTGTGTATGTGCACAGCCATGCACAATTAATGAGAGTTTTCAAAGTAGAATCAAGTGAACTCGGCACCACCAGTTCCCCCAAATTACTACCATCGCTCTTTCTAGAACTCAACCAGTTAAGAATTTGGGGTTTCATCTCACGCTCTTCTCAGTCCGGTGCAAATCATTCCTACATCAGAAAACAAATAATCATTATTTGCTTTAACCAGTGTCCTATTAGCCAACCCAGAACATAGATTTTTTTTACTTTTTTAATTTAAAAAGCAAAATTCAATCCATTAAATTGGATTTGGTATAATTCTAAGAGGGAACGCTATCATTATATTCAATTCCCTAGTTACTTTCCTTCTGACTTTGAAATGTATACATGAGGGTATCACTGTTTTGATGAGTAACAGAAAATAAGATCTCTGTCAGATATCACAGATGACTCCTGGTTCATGGAAAGCATTAATGATAGTCTCAAGGGAAAGGGCAGTTTCAGCAACTCCAAAGTAATAGTCATGGTTATCCAAGAGCTTCTATTCAGTGTTGCTGAGAGCACATTTGATCATAACTATAGACCATAGTGACTGCTCATGAAGTAAATTTCATAAATTGTAGAAGTTCTTTAAATATTTATTATAAAATATTTGGAAGGATTTTACGGAAGGTGAAGCTGAGGTTTAGAGAATTTGAGCAACTTGCCCAGAGTTACATTTGGACCTAGAAGAACCAAGCCTAAAACCCAAGTGTGTCAGACAACAAAAGTGGTGCTCTTAACTCAGAGTATTATCACCCTGCCTCCCATTTTGCCATTTACCATCCGGCTCTATATCCCTGTTGACTTTCCTTCCCTAGAACTGAGAACGTAGGTAAGTGAGCTCACCTGCAAGGTTTACCACAGGCAGAAGAGCACCTGGACTGAAACTAGTTACCTAAATATTATATTCTCAACCTTGATGTTCAGATGAGATGTTTTCTAGACATCCCGACCCCTAGACCTAGCCCCATGCTGTAGTATATCACTAAAAACCGATTACTGCACGTGCGTACACGTGCAAGCACTATCTCCTAATTTTCTTCTTAGAAATGAGAATAAGCTTTAGTTTAGACAATAAATACTTCCAAGGTACAGAAACTTTTAAACATGTAGCCTCATCTTGCTATTTAAACAAATCAGTAATTTAGGAGTAAAAGTCAATAATCATCATGGAACTATCTTTGAAAATCAATTTATATTTTTCACATTCTATACTTCTAAATAAACCATTTGTAGTCAGGTTTGGCAAACATTCTTATACTCAATTTCATTCGAAGCACGTGTTCCACGTGTGAAGGATTCTTAGTTTGTATGTTGATGTCAGCCAAGTTAAAACCTCCTCTGCCATCTGAATTACGTGAGAGCTTTCAAATCTAATGTGGAGTTTGCACCTTGCAGAAGGGAAAGACATTTTAATAAGCCTTATTGTATCCACTGAAGGAAAATGAAATGAAATTTGCAGAGATATTTACTTTTTAACAAGGCTGGTGAGAAAGCTATATAGAAAGATAGATAGAACACCAAAAAGAGAACTCACTTGGATTTTGCCTTTTTTTCTCATATCTTGTTTTTCTCTCACCTCCTTTTCTCTGTCACCTTCTGCCCAGGCTGAAAGATATAAAGTCCTTTTGTATTTTTTCATGCCCATTCCCACAGCTTTTGCTTCTTTCTAGGAAGTAAAAAGAGGTCAAGACAGAAGACAGCAGAACACACTGGTTACTATGCCACACACACCAGAAAATGCCCAAGAAAACATTCAAGGCTCTATCCAAATTCCCACTGAAAGAGAGAAGAGGGTCAGTCCCGTGGTTATTTAAACTGGGCATCTCTGAATCAAAATAACTTCCTAACCCTTTTACTAGCTTATGCTATCTCACCCCTTTCAAAAATCTACAAAATTAGTTTCCTGGATTCAGTAGGTCACTTCGTTTAAGCTTCTGTTCAAATGTCACACCTCAGGGTGGCCTTTGCAAAACACACTACCCTTGATCCCATTTTCTTAATAACAATGATCACTACCTGACATTTTACAATATGTTTCCTGATCATTTATTTGTTGTTTACTTCTCCTTCTGGAATGCAGGCATTGTGAGGGTAGATTTCTCTAACTGACCACCATACGTCCAACGCCTGGAACAGTACCCACGTGTGATAGGAACTCACTAAATATTTGTTGAATTAATTAAGTACCTGTGAAAACAAGCTGGACCGTATGGAGCTGGCAGAAGTATACTGACACGTTAGTTTCTGATGTCATTTCTTCTCACATAATTCCGCCTGAAGGAAACCTTTCCAGGAAGGCAATCTTGAGTCCAAGTTTCTTCCACGTCTTTCTTCTGTTCTCTGTGTAGTCAGCCCAAAGGATATTTGAGTTCAATTTGCAGAGAAATGCTATAGATAGAAATGATAATGTCCCCTCAACTTAAAAGAGCTGAGCATGTTTTGAAAGCGTTTTATGAACTGGAAACCTTTCTATGAGGTATTTCACTACAGCCCCATAAAACCTGACACCCTGCTGGAATTTCATCCTGTTAAATTTGGCGGTGTTTCCTTCCTCATGTAATGAGTTCATGTTTTCATTTAAGTTCATACCCAGATACAAATCAGTGTCACTGCCACAGGCAACGATTCACAGAACTCCCAAGTACTTGGGGCTGAGGGACTCAGGGTTTAGAAGCACAAATGCCAAATTCTCCTCTTCACATGGGGGCTCTGTGGCATTTACTGTCTTCTACCCACCTCGGTGCCAGGTCCCGGGGAGGCCATTGGCTAAGTGGGCTTCTGGCTTCTATCTCAATGCAAGCTAGTCCTCTAAAGCCTCTCTGGATTTCCTGTGGTGATCCCTCTTTGCATCCCTCTGAGAAAGAAACAATAATCACGATTTTTTTTTTCCCCAGGAGGAGAGTTCAAGAGCACAAGTGGTTTTAGTCAGGGATTCAATAAACACTTTGGCAGGAATGAGGAAAGCAGTGTACAAAAGACCTAGTTTTTCTTCCAGTTCTAGTTTAAGGTGGATATTTTCATGTGAGGCAAATTGGGCATTGTCAATACGATGAGGGACAACCTCTGTCCTTGGCTGATATACTAGGTAACTAAAATCTAATCCCTAGTCAAAGGCTATTTCTTCAAGTGCCATTATCGATAAATGACTGTTATTGCAACAAAGATGGTAACAATGACAGGGAAAGCACCCAGTGTATGAAAGTTCTGTCCTGCCAGTGGGGAATTTGTCCCGATTTGCATTGACTTCATGACTTCCTGCAGGCAAACACCTGGAGACTCTTTCCTAGAGGTACTGCTGAGCACAGGACAGTGCCATCAGGGTGTCTTCACCACTTAGAGGGGTGGGATAGGGAGGGTGGGAGGGACATGCAAGAGGCAGGGGAGAGGAGGATATATGTATATGTATAGCTGTTTCACTCTGTTATACAGCAGAAACTAGCACACTACCGTAAAGCAATTATACTCCAATAAAGATGTTAAAAAAAAAAAAAAAGCAATACAGCCAGCTCTCCCCTTTCCCAAGCCGAGTTCTCAGACCGCTAGGAGCTGATTTGGAGGAGACAAGGTTGAAAAATAAAAGGATAGTTAGAAGAAAGTTTAAAAAAGAATCCATTTGTCTTCTTTGTGTTCAAGAGAGCAAGCTAATTTATACACTCACATTCATATTTTACTAGTTTTTTTGCCCAGCACTAAATTTGTAACTCTGAACTTTCCTTATCACAGGATTGAAGCTGTACTATTAGGAACCCCAAATTTCAATACTGATAATCCCATCACTGTTCTTGATTCCAGGAGAGGCAGACACAGAGCCCACCCTGAGCCAAGGGTTGACATCCCTCTCTGAGCTCTGTCCTTGGGACCCCTCCAGTAGATAGATGGCTGCATTGTGGCTTGGGCCATATTTTCTTTGTCTGCACCATTTATTTAGATGCCTAGTGATGACTGACAAAACTTGCTCTATAAAACAACAGTTATTTTTCTACTCTCCCTTTAGGGAATTCTTATAAATTCAAATTTGGCTTCACTACCTAGAGATCAATATGCCACAATTCTTGTCTAAAACTGCATGCTTTCCAGATTGTCCCATAACAAGCTAAAATATATACACATATATTCCTTTTAATCTGACAGCTTTGTATCAATGTGATTCATTTATTAATCAATTAATGTGTTCATTCAACAATTATTTTATTGAACACCTACTAATTCCAGGCATTGCACTAGAAGCTGGACACCGCGACAAAGCATAAATAATACAAGTTCTTTGGTATGTATTAAAAATCTGGGGCTAATATGGGAAATAATCAGTCGTTAAAGTAAACTGGACATAATGCAGGAGAAAATATATGAAAAAGCCACTGCAGACCCTAAGGCATGTGGTTTAAGGCATATTCTCTATGTTACAGATTCTATTTTGCTTATTCAAATAGTTCTTGGAATTTTGAAGGGTTACATTTAAGTTGTCCTATCTCAACCCAACATTCAGGTAGTGGGCCCGTTTTTTAAAACTGTGTTTTATCAGGAGTTTTGATCTGGTGTGACATCAGTGTGCCTGTCACAAGAAACTCTTTTAAGTCCAAGGAGATAAACTATTGTCTCCATTAACAAGGTCACACCTACAGAGACACTGGGTTTTCCCTTGGGGCATTGGAAGGTGTTAAGTTCACAACCCACAACCTGGGGATTCAGTTGAACAAACTGAATAGTGGATTCAGACAGCTGCAGAAATGGAAAAGAACCCATCACCCTGTGGAGAGCCACGACACCACAGAATTTTCTCCTGCAACCTTCCAGACTGTTCAGATAGGCACTCAGTGATTTCAAGAAAGAATATGAGAGGGAAGAGGGAAGACTGGGATAGATCTTAGCATGAGCTGTGAGGGGAACCACGCCAAGGGAGGGAACGGCTGATGCCCAGTTGTCAGTAGAAAAGGAGGGTGACGCTCTTACAGAGCTAGAAGAGGTCAATAAATCACTACCCTTATCTTGTGAACAGAGCCTGTGACTTCAAAAATTAGCTCATTTATTCTGCACAATTAAATTTATTGAAGTGTGACAGAAAAGTTTAGCAGCCAGTGGAGCATAAAGCCGCCAACAGCCGAGGCGAGCATCTGAGTGAATGACACAATTAGTTGATTTTCATTTTATTTATCAATATAATTATTGAATTGTATTTATCCTTTTTCACAGATTTCTACAATTATTACCGCTTGGGCCTCTAGGGAAAGAATTAGTCCAAATTTTCAGTTGAAGTTAATGTGATTATGGAGCTGCTAATAAAAGGAAAGTTCTCTAAAGTGCTACACAATCCTGTATTCAATGTCACTCCCATCATCGGGCTTAGAAATTCAGTCCCCTTTCATGAGAATGTGGTAAATTGAATTTAAATTTGTGAATGTGACAGATTCCCTAGGTGAGTACTGAACTGGGCATGGCCAGTGCCCGCCCTCAGGAGAGGGACTTTAAAGCAGCTAGAGATTTGTCTTGTATTGAAAATTGGAGATTACAACACATTTTTTTTTTTTTTTTGGTTTTGAAAATGATGAAAAAAGGAATCCTGGAATTATTTTCAGCCTTAATGAGGTTTGAGAAAGAAAGAAGACTAGATGGGAATGCTTGCTTTTTTATCTTCCCCTTTTCACTACCTGGCATTCCGCCGTATCCCTGAGAAAGCCTGTCACAAAGATAGAACAAATAAAAGTAAGACAGTATTCATATTCCAGAGGGAGATGGAGAGCGGCCTGCCACACAGTTTCTGGGAGACTAGTTTATCCCCCTGAAGCAGCAGCATCTGAATGCACCAGCTGTCTGGGTCTGAATAGTCTTCTCCCCATGAATCAAAAGACTTATAGGCGCCGATGTACACACTTCCTGCAAGGTCTGAAAAATGACCCATTTCCCACAGGGAACTCAATCTCATTCATCACCCACAGGTCTCTCAGTTAAATATTTTTTATCTTCGGCATCTGAGAGATGCTTAGTTTCTCTGTTAAGGTGGAGTGGAGGTAACTCAGGTTCAACTTTTAATACACCCAACCAGGTACACAGTTCCAAAGAAATCTATTAAAGCAGTTATCTTTAGGCTTAGAATCTGTAAGGATGTGGGATCTCGTTACAATGAAGATTCCCAAATTCCTCCAAGAGAGGAATTTGTTACTCATTTTTAAATGAATAAGAGACTCCTTTGGCCATGGCCTTGGAATCAACTTCAAGAAGTCTTGAAAGTGCAAAGTAAATCATGTACTTGAATAGTGGCGGCTCCTCCAAGGAGCAGCAGTCCTGTTCTCCGTAAAACTTGGGGAACTACTGACTCGCAGGTGAAGGTGAGAACACCAGATTTTGACCCCGATATGGGCACCTAACATGCAAGCTAAAGCAAGATTATCACTGCCACATTTTCATGAGTGACCATTTATCCAGTTATTATTAATATGTGATAATACTCAGAGTTGAGAGCTAACATTTACTGTGTCCATTATGACTTAAAATAATTCTGTATTCCTCTTTTTCTTCCACTCTCGTATTTAATCTAACAGCAAGACCGGTCTACCCTGCATCCAAAATATATCTCAAAACCATCTACTTCTTTCCATATCCATTAGTTTAAGTCCTTAATTCCTCACCTGGGAGGTCAGAGTAGCTGCAGCAAAATGGGTGGGAGGCAGCTGGAGGTTCAAATCTGTGCGATAGCCAAGGACCAGGTCAAGTAGGGCCTTGTAAGCCTTCAACTTTGGATTTTATTCTAAATATGATGGGAAGTCACTCAAGTGTTGAGATGTCATGATCATCAAGATCTGACTCACCCTTTTAAAAGATTCATTCTGACAGCTCAATGGAATATAAGCTGTAAGAATGTATATAAAAATAAGTCCACTGTGAGATTAAATTCTGAAGTCACAGGACAGGATTTTAGAAAGGTACCCTAGCCCATTGTTAATTGCAAAATAAACATATATCCAAAGGGAGTGAGGAAGAGGTCTTCTTCTTTTGCAATTCTTTTGCAATTCATGGGCTACTTCTGACATGATTCTACCTAATCTTTATGCTATAATAATGCAATTTTTGATACATACTTTGAATTATATTTCCAGTGATCACAAAGGTTTAGTTATCTTTTCTCTCCCTGTATTTTTTGAGAGAGTCTAGCAATGAGCTGCATAGTTAGGTAAGATGGAATAACCACATAATTTGTGGGAGGATATTAAGTTAACCCCACAGAGTTTGTGGTAGACATCTATCATTCATAAACTTCTATCATCCTAGGCTACCAAGGCAGAAGTTTTTATTAGTGTCAGGCCACTCACTTTCCAACCCATCCATTTTTTAAAAAACTGAGGGAGCTGGGAGAGGAAAGAGGAGCATAGACTATTCACAGGTCATTGGAGGAAGGCTCGACTCTCTTCTGTGATGACTGGACCTCGTCATAAGAGTACAGGGGCTAAAATTACA